TATTATTATTATTATTATTATTATTATTATTATTATAAGTCAGGGTACCTATTCCCAAGTGGGTGTTGATGGAAGCGTAGCGAGCAGTGCCAGTCAAGTTTTTGTTCTCGCGATAAGGGATGTGCTGGTGGGTGCGAGCATCTCTGTACTTTTTGGCCAGGCCAAAGTCAATGATGTAAACAAGGTTGCCCTTCTTCCCCAGGCCCATAAGGAAGTTGTCGGGCTTGACATCTCTGTGGATGAAGTTCTTGGAGTGTATGTATTCAATACGGCTGATCTGAGGACAGAATAGAGGACAGGTTCAGCATGTCGAATGACTGAATGAGAGACTCCATGCAAACCTAACACACCAATTCAAATAAAGCAATGAGGGCATGATAACCGCTGAACAAGCAGTCCTTTCACATTATGCCTCCTTTCACAATGCATCTTGGCACTTAATACTCATTCAAACACAAAGTGAAAAAGGTAAGTAAAACAGCTGAAAAGATGACAGTAAAGCTTGTCATGTCACCAGAACACCACTTCCTGGAGTCATTATCCCGTTTTGGGTGTCCTATAACAAGAGATGGGTAGGGTGGAGAGGACAAAGGTTACAGAGATCATGTCTACAAGCCTTACCATCTGGTCAGCCAGCAGAAGAACAGTCTTTAGGCTGAACTTGCGAGAACAGAAGTTGAAGAGATCCTCCACTTTGAAGGTCTGACAGACAGAAACTGAAGGTGACCTACAACATAATAGGTGGGGGGTTGGAAGCCCGTTTGTTTCAGTAGGACAGCAATGTAATAAAACCTAAGGAGAGATTCAGCTTAAGTAAACCAGCAGCCCTGTTTGGTCACCCTCTGAAAGGGCTCTAACTCATCAGCCATAAAGCATAGACCATCTATAGAATGACCTTGAAATGATACGCGAAAAGATATAGGCTGTCAGGGAAAGACAGTTGATACCCAATTAGATCACTTCAAGGGCATTTTCCTGCCCACTCTCACCATTCAGCCACACGTGAACTAGAAAAGGCAGCTGTCACAACACTACAATATAATTTGAATTTGTACTGATACAATGGATGTTGAATACACATAATCCTCCAGTTAAGCAAAGAAGCCTCTCATGTGATTCAATTATAGCTACCAGCTAATTTTCAGAAATGACACCAAATTCAAATGATCAATGCATAAGGTTGGAATGATCCCTTATCAATTTGGGTAATTTACGTTAGTAACTGGAAAAATACATGTTAAAAATGTAAAGTGAGATGTTAAAAATACACATTTTTAATGTAACTTTACAAAATAATAATGTAAAAAGCTACAGTAAAACCTGTTAATCAATACTTTATGGTTTCTGCAGGTAAACACTATACTGTATAATTTATGGTGAAAAAAGGACATTCTCAGAAGTTATTTAAAAAGTTTTGGTTCTCCTTATTTTTGAGTAATGTATATTAATTTTTAATATTTAATTGATTTTTCCGTACATTTCTGCCATATGTACATTAACTGACAGTCACCGCTGATAAGCTACTACTAAATTTTCTGTAAAGTTGCTTTGCAACATTTTGTATCGTAAAAAGCGCTATACAATTAAACTGGAATTTAATTTAATTTAATATTAGGGTGTTTACATCTTCTGTTAAATGTTGATTGCATTTTTTTAGTGTGTGGTGTGTTACCCTGATTGGTGTTTGGTCTTTGTGTGTTTGAATACAAATACTGGCCATGTTTTATAGACAGGCCACTTACGATGAACTAATCATGTGGCTTTCTATTTCACCGCCAGAGCGCGTACACACCTCACGCACCGGATGCCGGGCGCGCACCCAAAGACAGTTGGACATAGTGGTGTATTAGAGGTAAAAAATGATATAAATACTGTTCGGTTTCTGGCACAAACCGATCGTTTCGTGTCTTAGGACATCAATGTGTCGTCACGAGCTGCAGGGTTTAATTTGGATTTGTCTGTGCACGTATTTTTTACTCTCATAGATTTTGTTACCATTGCCATGCATTATACGACTGATAGACTGCAACGGTTGGAGTTAAAAATCATCATATGTGTTCTACTGAAGAAACAAAGTCTACCTACATATTGGATGCCCTGGGGGTAAGCAGATAAAAATCTAATTAAAATTTTTGGGTGAACTATCCCTTTAAGTTTCCTCGAGGGAGAGTGCTTTAAGAACAGAAAAAACAAAGCGCTGCAAGAACCGTTGCTAAGCACACCATTATATTTGTGTCTCTGGAACGTCTGTAAAAACCTTGAGATATAACAAATTCAAGAATATTCAAATATTCGTTTTTTATAAGAGCCCAAATATTCAAATACAATATTTTTGAAAAATGCCCATCCCCAATTATTATTATTATTATTTTTTTTAAGTAAATTCCTGGCAACCACAGCTGCCTGTTTTCCCCACTGTAAATTTAATGGCATATATTTTACAGTATAATGACAGGTTTTTTTTAATGCTACTCTTCTAGACAAACAGCCTAGGCAAGTCTAATGTCTTTTTAAGATTTTTTTCAGGATTATCGAGGAGAGGAAGACAGAGCGTTCAGCAGCGTTCTGGCAGATCAGAGATCTCTCGGCAGCTGCTGTCATGTCTACGGTCGTGTGCACCCTGAGCCTGGCCACTGCCTTCAACAACACAGAGCTTTTGCTGTTCAGCACTTTCCAGAAAACATCCTCCAGGTCAGCTATTCCTGTGCAAACTCAGGAGGTTAAATATATCTCCTGGCCTGAGCCATCCAGCACGCCTCTCCATTCTCACATCAGCACAGCTCTGACACAGTCTATATTAATAGGAATTAAAATAGAAAAATGCCAAGCCTTGTGCTTCTCCATGTATGGACTTGAAAAAGTGTAACTGTGGTGCTAAAATATGCAGAAATAATAACATAAAAAATAACATTAAAGGTTTCCTTTCTACCTACAAAATTCATGTATATACCCACACCTTTCTCGATGTAACGTCATCAGTGTGTATGCTTGCTCATGCTGTGCTAAATAAGGCTGCGAGTGGTGCAAGAGACCCAGTTAGGAAATGGAATGCACAGGGCCGGCCCCTCCCCCCAAACCCACTCCCCTCCCCTCCGCATGCACCATCTGGCCCGGGGTCCATGTGATCATAGAGAACACAAGCGCTGAGAGGGAGGCTCACTCAGAATGTCAGTCTGTCGTGGCACGGATACCATCGCAAAGTTTGGCCGCTGCAGAGCAAACGTCATGCATGCTCAGTCATGCTGGGAGCAAGCGGACAGTCTAGAGCATGTTTGAAAGCGAATGCCGTAGATGACACACTTTTGCTGCTGGCCACATAAAATACCCCCGACAGGACTATCATACATCTATCTAGAATAAAAGCAATCGGGGCCAAACCCAGCGGGGGCCGGTAGGGGGACGCATCCTTCAGGCACCTCATGTATATTCATAAACCATCACCACACATTACAACAGAACCAAAATTTCAACAAAAATGTGATTTTGTAGATTGATTACAGGACGATATGATGCAAAACAATGCTGAAGACACAAATTGCCTACTTCCTTTACATCCATGCAAGGCCAATGAGAAGACAATTCATGGTGCTGACAGAACGCTGTGAGTAGTTTGAGATCTGATAATGCCACTCTCATTGGAGAAGGATGTGTTGACTCACTGACTGATGATGCGAGGGGGAACTGGTCACGATTGGTTTGCCGCCCACTGTTGCTACAGTATTCTGTAACACCATCTAAGAAATAGAGATCCTGTGAACTACGCCTTACCTTCAGAGAACGCTCTTACTCAACAAAACTCAACAAAAGAACTACATTAAGTCAACATAAAATGGTCATCATTCATAGAGGCTTTTAAAGGCTAATATTACTAACCAGGGATCAACAGGAAGAATATCTAGTAGTTCGCGTTTTAAATTTCCACTGGCCCCAGCACAAAATGATCAATTTTTTCCTATATGAACATTCAAAAGTTAGGGGTCAGTAAGATTTTTTTTTTTTTTTATATAAAATAAATTAATACTTTTATTCAGCAAAAGATTAATTTCTCAAATAAATGCAGTTCAACTTTCTATTCATCAAAGAATTCTGGGCAAAAAAAACAAACATCATGGTTTCCACAAAAATATTAAGCAGCACAACTGTTTTCAAGGCCAATTTGTTGAAATTATTAGAATTATTAGAATGATTTCTGAAGGATTATGTGACACTCTAGAATGGCGTAATGGCTGCTGAAAATTCAGCTTTGCCAGCAGAGGAATAACTTGCATTTTAAAATATAATTTAAAAATAGAAAAGTTACTTGAAATTCTAATAATTTCCCAATATTACGGTTTTAACTGTATTTTTGATCAAATAAATGCAGCCTAGGCGAGCATAAGAGGCTTCTTTCAAAAATATTTAACAAAATACCAACCCCAAACTTTTGAATGGTAGAATGTATTTTCATTTTTCCTTAATGTTGAGCTCTGCTTCCAACATCTCATAATATGATTAAAATGGTACTCTATCAAACGGCCTTTCAATACAAAGCAAAATTCTGTTTACATTTAAAAAACCTAAAACTAATAAAGTAAATATCAACTTAACACCTAACAGTTCATATTAAATATTTTAGTTTGAAGAGTTTTATTTTCCACAAAAGAACAAGTATACAGGCTCTTATGTATGTGGCAGCAGTGTGAGGTGTGTACGTGTGACTCATAGGTCTGTGTTAATGGAGAAGCCGGATGGAGACCACGAGGAGCTGCTGACAGAGTGTGGAAACACGTACCGCCTCCTTGCATCATCTTGTAGATCTTGCTCTCGATGTGCAGCTGTGGGTGCTTCGTTTTCACACATTCTAGCTTGATGGCTACTTCTTCCCCCACTGAGATGTCTGTGCCTGGAAAATCAGAAAAGAATGGAGATGGAAGTCAGTTACACAATACATAGCCAAAGAGAAAAGCGAAAGACTGATAGTGGATGGAGCAACAACCAAATTACCTGATATATTTAAAGTAAGGAGCTTTAATAAGAAATATGTGCTCATGTACCTGTGACGTATAATATACGCATACATGAGCATGAGAACATTAAATCCACTCAACTAGAGAGGCTTTGCAGTGTCTAAATACGCTTTAGCTTCCAGTGTATTATGAGTCATTGGGACACAATTAAATATGACAAAAAAATAATAATAATGAAAATGCAGGCCCACTATGATTAAAAAATTCTACATATCTAAGGTTGACTCACGCACGCAGCTTTCCAGCATGAGGGAGTGGGCACAATTATCAACGCGTACTGCTATACCACCTCCTTTCCGGCCCACCATCTGTCTCAACTCCACATCCTGAGCAAAGGATGCTGAAAATCATCCACAGTCATCTACTGTAACAGACACCCAATGAAACAACACTGTGGCATTCCCAAGGACTAGGCTATGCGTATGTTATGCCTGAGGGATGTGACATGAAAGGCAGGATGAAAAAAAAAAAAAACACACACACACACAGTGAACTTTCCTCCCTCTCTTAATCAGAGGCCAGAAACTGATGTGCTACCTGAACCCAGTACTGCTCTTCCGGCCTCTAGACTGTGGACCATTCTTGCTCTGTAATAAACTGTCATATGCCCCTTTTCCACTGACACCAGAAATCAATCTGAAAACATTTCCACAGGAAATACAGATGCAGATGGTCTACAATAAAGCAACAAATATCATCTGGGTAAATTGACTGATTTGAATTGTACTATGTTGTATAATAAAACGGGTGAAAAACTAGGGCTGCACGATAAATCGAAATGGAATCGAGATCGCAATTCGACAGAAGCTGCCTTTGAAAAACGAATTGAAATACAACTGAAATCACAATATGGGGCAATTATCAAATTGCACAGGCTGCAATTGAATTGAATATGAGCTGCACATTTCAAAATGAAGAGCAACATTTACACACATTCGAATGTAATGCATATGACTAGACTATTTTTTTTTTTTATCAAGTAATAGTGGTTTTGAATAAAAATTAGCAAAAGTTACGATTAGACATGTTGACAATATGCCAACGATAACTGTTAAGAGAAAAAAAATTATCCAACCGCATGACGGAGCAACCGATTAACTGCTCGTGTGTGCTCTATCAAGGATTGTAATGTAGAACGTATTGCTAGTCCTAAGCAGCTATTCACAGTGAAAAACAAGACGGGCAGTGGAATGGGAAAAAACACAAGGTTATGAGACAAGTTGAACTTTTTAACTTGAGCATTGTGTTTTTAGAATGCCACCTAACGTGAGAGATACAAAATAGAGGTCTTCACGGGTCCACTTGGATCCGAAAACCCGAGGTCCGACCCGAGACCCGAGACGGGTTCGGGTCCAAAATTTCTATGAGTGCCTCGGACACGGGTCGGGTTTGGTATTAGCGGCCTCGGGTCTCGGGTAATTTAAAATAAATGTGCTTTTTTTTCAAATGGACCCGATAAGACCCGAATTCTTTTAAACTATCCCGAATGTGTATACTTGCACGTTCGCGTTAAGTGAGGAACGCACATATAAAAGGAGCATACGTTTGTAACCTCGCCAACAGAAATCCATCTTATAGATATGAGATCCATCAGGAAAATTCACTCGCTTCATTACGCTGCGTATTCATGCAGGGCTTCTCTTTTTTTGAGTGCAGAAGCCTTTCGCCGGAGATTAGGTTGCAGACAACACTAGCGAAGCCATGAATTATGTTATGATAATGAGTTATGCTTTAGATTAGCTATGAAAAGCTATCGATTCAATTTTTATCAAACTATCACGTTTATTTTTCAAATCCACTGGTCACAACTGAAAGCCGAACTCAGAAATAACTTGTATCCATCAGGCAGGCAATAATATAAAGTAATAACCAAATTAAATACATGTTAAATAAATTAAAGTAATGGAGAAGCGGCCAAATCAGTCAGCAGGATGCCGGGATTTTCCTGACTGGCTGCATGGCTGCAGGCTGTGCACACGTCAATGCCGTTTATGTTCGGGTCCAGTCGGGTTCGAAAATAAAAGCAGTCGGGTCGGGTCGGACTCGGGTCTAATTTCATCTGGTCTGTCTCGGGTCGGGTTTTTCTTTTTGAAAAAATAATTTATGCTCGTCGGGTTCGGGCAAGAAGTGATTCGGGTCAATTCGGGTCGGGTACAGATTTTAGGACCCAAGAAGACCTCTAACACAAAAACATACACAGAGCCAGAAAACGGGGTAAAACAAGAGTAAACACTGGCAGTGTTTTACAAGATGCAGGAATTTGATGAATGTCTTGGTTTCAATCAGTTCGACAACCTTGCAGAGTTTCTTCTCGACAGGTAAGCTAAATTTCAAGTAAAAATTATTCCTAATATGTTGGACTTTTTATTGAAAGAAGCCTACTTTTACTTGTTGAGATATGCCTTCACTTTTATAGACCCATAAGAGCTGTGTTTGTGATGTTTGAGTTGGGGGAGGAGTGATGTGCAAAAGGGCATTTGAAAAGGTTGTTTGACTATTTTTGTAGTTTGATTATTTTCGCAGAAACTTCATACTCCACCTTGTAAACAAAAGGCCACATCACCTATTGCAGAAATAATTCAATAGCCATAAAGCCATTATGTGGGACTGGCATCCCCCAAACTGGCATCAGCTAAATAAAAGTGTGGTGAGGAGAGTTACAACTTGTTTGATGCCCAGTCTCGCTGTTAAATGCTCCTCCACAATAGACAAAGTGACAATGACATGTAGCGCTCATCAAGAAGACTTGCAGTGACATGTGACATGAATCATATAGTTAATAAGATAACACATATAATGATCACATAAATCATACAACCTAATAGATACATTTATTGCAGCAGAATAACATTTATCAGAATGGTAGGAATAATTGCAATGTCACAGCAGCTAACCGTTAATACATTTTGGTACCAAGAAATTACTTTACAGCAAGCATATCACATGATACAAGAAACAAGAGTACAGGCAGAAATTACAACTTTTCAAGTGCAAAAACACAGTGCAAGTAGTGCAAATACTGCACATAGGGATATGCCGGTATCAAATTTTCATGTTGCGATTAATTGATTATGCTTTTATCACGGTATACGGTATTATCACGATGTTGACATTTAGTTTTAAAAAAAAAGTGCTGTCATAATACAGTATAACAGGTTTAATAACATTTTTCTTATAACAAAAATAACTGAACATTTAAAGGGGTCATATGATGCTGCTAAAAAGAACATTATTTTGTGTATTTGGTGTAATGAAATGTGTTTATGCGGTTTAAAGTAAAAAAAAAACATTATTTTCCACATACTGTACATTATTGTTTCTCCTCTATGCCCCGCCTTCTGAAACGCGTCGATTTTTACAAAACTCATCGGTCTGAAAAAGCGAGGTGTGCTCTGATTGGCCAGCTATCCAATGCGTTATGATTGGCCGAATACCTCAAGTGTGTGAAGGAAATGTTACGCCCCTCACCATACTGTGTTGATGCCGTGTCCCGGCCGGAGCAACGACACAAAAACATGAAAACCCATTACAAACGAGGCATTTGTTGCATCCAATGGGGACATAATTACTGATTATAATGACTTATACTGTTGTTTTACGCGTTGCGTTGCATCGCGCCGCGTAAACAAAACCATGT